ATCCTTAAAGCACCAGAGACGAGTGTAGACCACAGAGACCCAAGTTCTGCACCTATTGTGAAGGGCTGAGCCAAATGGCACTTCACAAATCAGTGCCGGTTTCCTTCTGTCGGGATCTATTTTTAACGAGGAAGTGCTCGGCGTCCTTCACTCTGGTGGTGCTCGTGGCAGAGTGCGCCCTGGCCCCTGCTGCGCGTGAGCCGAGCGCCTGTCAGGGAAACGGAGCGGCTCTCCAGCAGCCTGGCTCTGCGAGGGGCAGACGGAGCTGTCCCCCCCGCCCGCGCTGCCCGGGACGAGGCGACCTCTTCTGCAGGCTTCCTGCCGGGCACGCACGCACGCACACACTCCGCAAAACACAGCCCCCAGCTGCGCTTCCACAGGCCTGCACCTGCTGCGCCCTCCCGGGTCACTCGCAACTTCAACAGACTTCCTTCTAGGGCTTTAGTGAGAGCGAGGCACAGGTCTGCACAGAAATAACAAGTACAGACCCCTAAATGCATTAGGGCCAGCCATTTCATTCTTCCATGCATTTAAATTCCTGAAGCAAGCCTTTTAATGTCTAAATGTCTTAAGTTACATAAACACATGAATACTGAACTACAGAACAACTACGTACCTAAGAGCTATGGTGCCTCGCTACTCTGGTATCAGCTTAAGACGTCAGTGGGTTACAAGCTTGATGCAGTTATTCTGTGCAAAGGACTTGCTGCCAAACACTAAGTTGTATACCTGAAATGTTGGCATTGAACACACAACGTTCTATCATTCTTAAACAATCCAATGGATAAGCACAGAGACACCCAGAAATAAAAGGGGACATTCTGCACTTTTCCCCTCATATTAATCTTTTTATCTCAAATACAAATTGCTTGAGCACACAGCAAAAATAGCAATTTTGACCTCACTGATACAATAATTATGGAGGGCCCTGAAGCACTGCATGAAAGGACATTTAAACATGTGCTGGACTATGGGATCTGCAGGCCCACAAAAGTAAATAAAAGGTATTCTCCTGCTCCACAAGGCTCAGACTGCAACCTGAGAAATTAATTGCAAACTCACTGAATGCCACCTCCCGATACAGATTTAAAAAGGCCACCCGGGTTAAATGTGTTGCTGTTAAGGAGAAAATAGCTTGTCAGACAAGCTTAATGCTGAGATGTAAGAGCTTTGGAGGGAATTAGAATGAGAAACTCTGGGTAAGGTCACCCATTTCTTATCCATGTTCTAATTTCATCTCATCCACAGTCCCAGAAAGTTTATTTCTGACTCCGAGTTCTCATCTCTCCGTTTTGAGTCTGTGACTCCAGGGTGTGCTGCGAATGCAAACGAGCCCTGAAGCAAAAGATGTGCTTCTTCGTCCTAAGGCAGTTGATAATTACTTCATCGGAAACGAGTCAGCCAGGCAGGGTCACCTTAGAAAAGCAAATCAGTAGCACCGGAGGAGAGCCACATGCATAAAGATCAGCCCCCCCTCACCACGGCGGCTCGGAAATCGCAGCACAGACGGAAATATAGGGCAGTCCCACCCCTCCCATTGCTCAACAAATCCCCTGCTGGATCCATTTCTTTCATATCCACAAGAACTGCTAGGCTTCTTTATAAGCCATCCACATATACAGTACATCGCTGAGCATCCAAAAGCATCCAATAATTCCTCCTGTGCAGCTGTTCTGCCATGTCTGTCGGAAGTGAAAGTTGACTGACATGCGTGATCACTTGGCGTCTCAGCAGAATGATGTGAGCTTGTTCACCTCTTATCATTCAGCATCCCCTGCCTGGACAGCGGTCATGGGACAGCGCTGCTTTGGCCTACTGTATATAGGAAGCAGTCAGAGGACGTTGAGACCTATTCAGAGTGACAAGACAGGGCAGCAGGAGTGGTGGTGGGACAATAAGATAGAAAGAGCTGGGTGAGAGCCTTGCATCAATTAGTTACCATCTACAAAGTGTGCTAGATGGGCTGACTGGCTTCCTCTCATTTGTAAACTTTCTTGTGCATATTTAAAACTCTTCTACTGTCTTGTAATACTGGCAGGGCGGCAGTGTCATTTGTTTCATGGAGGAGGCCATGGTATTGGCTTAAACCACAGGATTCTGTTGCTGGGTCCAGACTCCCACACCCGTGAAAGACCCCATGTGTTAGCCAGATACACCTCCCAGGCCTGGAGTCAATCAGACCCTTTGACAAAGACCCCTCCTGCAAACCACTAACCCTGGACTTGAAGCTGGCTTTTCATCAGGTAGAATCAAGACACCTCATGCAAGCAAGAAAGGCACAGCCAAGCGCAGAGCTCACGGTCTGAAACTGGGAGTGTGGTTTGATGGGGCCAAGATGGAACTATACTGCTGTGGTTTGTCCTGCTCCATCTCTATTAGTGGCTTCACAACAATGCTTCCCACTCTTTGCCCAATAGAGCCCCAGTCCACCTCACCTATGACCCAATTGGCCTTGACACTGTTCACAAGTCTTTAGTTATTGAGTTTCCTGTAAAACCAGGAGAGCTCCAAGGCAAGAAGCTAGGATCACAACTTGAGAAGATGAGTTAACCTCCGCATGTAGGTCTTTACCAGGATGATGGAGCCTCTTTTTCTCCAGACACCACCAGCCTTATCGCAAAGCAAACTCCTTGATTGCGCAGCCTAAATTTCCCAATTGATAATTACTGTCCCCTTTAATTGACTGGACATTAAGGGTGACGAATGTTCACAAGACATCCTTGGTCGTCGGGTACTTAAAGGCAGAGGGCTCAGAACTTGTCACTTACAGTGCTCCTGAGAAGAGTGCAGCCGAATTTTGTGCTCCAGTTGCACAGTTCTGATGAAGCACAGGTATCCCCGCCGAGGGACTGCTTTGTGCAACACACTGAAACAAGAGTGTCACAAAGAAAGCAACACTGGCTGAACTTCAGTCCCTCAATCCTTCCAATAATTATCACAGCAGGCTTAGTCTAGGCTGTACAGGGTGTGATTAATGTTCTATTGTCAATCACATTTCACTATTTTAACCACACTCCAGCGGTGGGTGCAGATAGCTATGTGTTAAGAGTTGCATGTGTTGTACTGTATGCATTTGTGCGCGCACAAATAATTTATTTTCTACAGAAACTGACCACACAGAGGCTAATGCACAGAAGAGATGTGGAGAGGAATGGGCAACCGCGGTCCCTGAGGGTCAGGCCCTTGCGTATCTTTCAAACAGCAACTGTTTACGAGCTGAGAGTAAAGGTGTTTTTACTCTGTAACCTATTACTGAGCTCAATTAAGTAATTAAAATGAGATTAATGAAATGAGATGAGAATGAAAACCACATAAAGACCTCAAGCCCTCAAGCACAGCAGCTTTAGAAATAATCAAGCTAAGAGCTCCCAGATTCTGCACCACTGCATCTCTGCCAGAATTGTCAGGGCTTCCTGTTAAGACGTTCGTGTGGTTGAATATTGTGGAATACAGTTGTCTACAGTACACATCACCTCGGAGCCTGGTTAGATGGATTACAGTTATGCAGCTAATTAAATAATTCAACCAGATCTGTGTCTGAGGATGCGAGTGGAACAAACAGCTACTCTCCGCTCTTCATTCACAGGTTGCAATGCTGGGTAAGTATGTGTGTTGAGCGACGCCCCCCATTTATTTGGAATAATGAGGTTACTCATGTTTCTTCTAACACACTATAAATAATTCGTTTAGGAAAACAGGCTGCCTTTTGTCCAGCCTGGTCACATTAATTGGAGCATAATGAGGTCTCATTATTACATTATTTGACCCGGGTCTGTGAGCAATCCTGTCCCTCTTTCAGCTTCTCCAAGTACTGTTTGAATCGTTCCCTGTCTAGTCTTAAGCCTGTGTTTTTTTTTTAATCTCTGGCATCGTTTTCTTGTGCCTTGAACGCACACAGCTGCAGCTGGAACAGCGCAGCCTTATAGACTGCTTTAAGCCCCAGTCATCCAGCCCTTTCAGCGTCTGTGAGTGTTTAAATATACACTGCATATCACCAAGGCAGTGAAAGTGAAGGAAATCCGCTCTGTATATCAAATACAGAGCTGGCGACGCATGAACTGGCAGCGAATCTGAGAGATTTGTTCATTTGTTTTATGCACTGTGTCCCGCGCAGCTCGGTGCAGAATTTGTTCACATCGTCTTGTTCATAGCAAAGAAAGTCGTACTGTTTTTGGGTGCCACTCTAAAAAAGTGGGCTTTTAGCACATTCTCTTTTTTTAAGAACAATAATCGGCAGAGATCTCAGCAATCAGGCGCGGCTTTCAGTACGACCTTGATTCCTTTATCAATTATTTGACTAAGAGGATTACCATACAGTATATAAGTATTTATCCTATACATTGAGATATACTGTCCCGTACTCTACAGCCTGTCGTGAAGCATGAAAAAAGTAAACAGTTTTAGCTAAATTTGGAACAAGTACACAGACAGGCTTCTTAAAATCCTAATCGCAGAATCCCAGCAGGTTTCTGTAACTGAAGTAATAATGAATAAGACAGCAAAAGTTTGATTTCATCCGTCCCACTCCGCAGTTTCTGTTTCTGACGTACAAAACGCAAATTAAAACGTGGTTCTGTGTCGGAGTACAGCTCCAGCGAAGAGCGCATCGCGGTAAACAGTAATTAAGCGAGAAGGCGAAAAAAACAACAACCTATGACTCAAACAGAGAGCGACAGATGCAGACCACCCAGTAGGAGTAGAAAGTCAGTCATGAGTACCGTCTTTGACGTTTTGAGGGATTTAAACAATTTGAGACCCGTCAGCGCTGAAACGCCCTCACCCTACCGTGAATCCAGATTTCTGGACTAATCCTTTAATGCCGATACACGACAGACCTGCGGATTCACCGGCAGATGTTTCTCTGAAAATCACTGCAGCACCGCTTCCGTCCTGCGCTCATTCACGATTATTGACGCCGATTATTTAGTTTGACAAACTGAAAGAGGGGCGCGGTCACCGCGGTGTGGAGCACGATGAGCGGGCGCCTATTCCTCCCCCGTGACATTACGAACAGACGGCGCACTTTAAAACGTGCGTGGACTACTGACTGGGATACTGGAAGAGCCTCAGGCTAAAGAAAACCCCCACGAACTTAATTAAAGCAGAGACCCCTTGGAGGAATGCATTTCGCTGGAGACTAACTCTCCGGCAGCGACAGCAGATAGGGTGAATACAGCTGAATACGAAAAAGAAAACGGGGCTGTTTCTGCTGCGACTCGCCTCTCCGCCCCGGCGCGACAGAGAAGTTTTCCGGGCTCATTCCTCTCACGTGTGGGGAGGCGGGGTGTCGTCCCGGGGGGGGGGTGCGTGACGCAGGCAGCGCGGCAGCCAATCCGGGCGCCGCACCCGCCGCGCGGCGAGCAGCACTAGAGTCGCTGTTCCTTCAGCACCACGGAGAGTTGCTGCCGGCCTGAGCTCTACTCCGCCAGCACCTGTGCGCCCGGCTGGGGAAGCTTCTTAGTGCGGGAACTTTTCCTTGAACCCAAAAGAGGATACATTACCGTCTCTGAGTTCGGGGAGCACCCACCCCAGAGTAAGAACACTCTTGGCATCTCTTTTTGCTGCCATGAAACCATTTCTCTTGCACAATACGAATTGAAGTTGTAAGCCGCTGACACTTATCTCGTATCTTTTCGCCTGGTGGGTTTTTTTTATTATCATCATCGCCAACACCGCTTTAACTGTATATTATTAAGTGCTTCAAACGGCCCGTTTCAATGTTTGATCTGCTTCAACTCCGCTTGGATTCTGGAAACACGTAGCAGAGACGCATCTCCGGGTTTTCCTTGAAATTTCTTTTTTTATTTTTACAAATTTCAAGCTCCTGAACAGTTATTTGGGTGGTACTGTATATATCTGTTTTAAAACAGATGTTTTTTTCCTCTGAGACGCCTATGGTTCAGTGGATCTGCTGTTAAGATTTCCTCGCCCTCAGCCTGAACCCCACAGTCGCCGTCCTCCTCGCAGGCATGCTCGCCTTCCTAGCTGGGATCCTGTGCTTTGTCGTGCTCGGGGGAGGCCGGGCGACCCGAGCCCAGGACACCACAGGCACCCGCTTTGTCTGCACCTCCATCCCCGTAGGCGCTGACCCCAGCTGCCCGCTGCCCCCCGCGGCCGTGCACAGCCCCGGCGCCCAGGAGGAAGAGCTGAAGAGCACCGTCATGCAGCTCCGGGAGACCATCCTGCAGCAGAAGGAGACCATCGGCAGCCAGCGGGACACCATCAAGGAGCTGACGGGCAAGCTGTCCCGCTGCGAGGCGGCCGCCCAGGGCCCCCGGCTGGACAGCCGGCTCGGCGGCCAGGGCGCGTGGAGGAAGGACTTCAACAAGAACACGATGGGGGACCTCCCGCGGGACCCCGCCGAGACCATCGACCACCTCGGCAAGACGGTGCAGAGCCTGAAGGACCGGCTGGAGAGCCTGGAGGTAAGGAGGCGCGACCCGCACGCTGGACCCTCGGCAGGCTCAGGACATGCCGAGAGGGCTGATCTCTGAGATCACTGCAAGGCTGTCGCTGCTGTTACTCCCGGTCAGTGTGTGTGTGTGGGGGGGATAAAACCCTTCTCTCCTCCGCTGCCAAGGACTGGATAAAGCAAACCCGGGTCGGGGTGCGTAGAATTTGCCCGGAACGCTGCCGCTCGGCGCGGTGTCAGTTGTCATTTTCTGGGTCACCAGTCGTGTCTGGTGTGGTCCGCAGCGAACGCGGGGGACTTCCATAGCTGGGTAGCTGGCCAGGGCGCTGCTTCACCTGAGCGAAACAGCGCGTAAAGTGCCGGTGAGCTGTCCCGCCCCTGACTGAGAAACGAATGTGAACTAGTCCCCCAGCCGTGACAAGGGCTCGAGTGGACAGCCGTGCTGGACTCGGGTACGACAGGCGCGGTGAGAGGAGCAGGCAGCGCACAACGCTGTCCGGACCCTTTGGGTTTTAAAAGCGATGTACAGTACTGTACGTGGTCAAATGTGGTTTATTTTGATTGCACCCCGACATTTCATTCGAATTTCTCTCCGTGTCTTGCTGCACTAGGGCCGGATGCACAGTACAGTACGACAGCGTTGGAATCGCACATGGACAGTTTTTAAATAACCCAGATTCTAATCCCTACCTCGTCCTTAATAGGCTTTGGCTCCAGAAATACATTTATCTCCTTTCCTGGTGCTTTGCAGAGCTCTAATCACAGGCAAAACCTTTGTTGAGAGAACACTGAACGAAGACTCTTTTGTTTGTATAAGAGTAGCATTACTGTGCAACAAACAGTAAAGCGGAATCAAATATCCGCTCTTTTCCTTTTACTGATCAGGTTGAATTGTGAGCGCCTTTGATGTGCGAAGGCATTACCACCAGATCCTGCGGGTAAACTGTATATAACTGTAATAGTCAAACAAAAAAGACGTGAAACATGTCGGGAAAATGCATATCACCGATATCACAACTCCAGCGCGTCTTGAAATTCGCGAAATGAATAGCCGTTTTGCAAGGTTACCACAGTTATAGTCAGAATTAGCATCCTGTGATTGAAACCACCGCGGATTTACACGTCACGCTACTCTGGGTCGATGGATTAATGTAAGAATCGCCTTACCTGCCTATCCGTCTTCAAACTAATCACTAACAGATCTAGACCCCAGTCCTGCCCGCCCCAGGGAATAGAGAGATTCAATTTTTCTGCGGGACTTTAACCTGCGTTTTCAGTGAAGACTTCATTCAGATTGTTTGTTTTTGCAGCAATGAATTCAAAATGAGAATTGTAGAAAGGTGACAGATTAGGCTATTTGGCCCATGTTGCCTACTTGTTTGATTGATCTAAGGATCTCATCCAGGAATTTCATTTTAAAAAAGCCAGGGTACTGGTTTCAATAACATGGGTGGGTAGCTTGCTCCATACTCCCACAACCCTTGGGGTAAAGATGTACCTCTTTATCTCAGTGGTAGGTAGTCCACATAGTTTCCACTAGTGTTTCACTGCATTCTAAAAAAGTCAGGTATATACATTGGTATAATATATTTAATACATTATGTCCTGTATATACTGCATACATCTAATAGAGAATAGTATTTAAGCCAGCACTGTAAAATGCAGATCTATTTTATTTATTTAACAAATGTTTGATAAACATTTTGTCAAACCTACAAACTGTTTAACAAAGTAGATTATCAATATCCTCAGCTGGTAATGGTTCCTCATATTTCTAGTCTCTGATTTGACATTAGGTCATGGCTGCTGCTTATTCTAGACTTTGACATTTGAATGAAACTTTACTGTGTTCAGGAGGTGCAGGTGAGATTAATTTAAAGCTAAACTATTGATCAACAGGATAAAATGCATGTGCCTCTTACTGGGTGTGTGATGAGAGCAAATGGGCAGTAATTGCTTTTCTGGGAATGACTGGTTATTGCAACAGATCAGCAGGAGAATGTGCTGGCAGTCCTGCTTTTGCGAGAGAGAGCAGCTTTCTTTTACATTCCCTGTGTTCCCTGCTTTGTGTAAGCAGCTCCCGAGCAGCCATGAAACATGTGTTCTGAAGGGCAACTGAGAATGTTTTGAATATAGTTAACGGTTGCCTTTAAGCCTTTCCTGCCTGTGAAAGAACAGAAACTCACAGGACACCCAAAGAAAAAAGGGCTTTTTAATGTTTTCCCAGGGGGCGCTGAGGAAGAGGCAATCAATTTAACATCAGTTCTGCAAACAGAACTGGTTTCTTTCCTCTGGCATTTCCACATTTACGCCAGCTTTGAGGGCACAGATTCTGGTTGTGTCTCAGACTGTTAGAGATTTTCTTCGAAGGGCGGTGCAAGGCTGGAGCAACACGATGCAGTAGAAAGAGGACACAAGTAAACCAATTCCCTTCCTTTATGATGTGAGCGATCTTTTGATCTGATCAGCAATGCTTAAGGATGAGCAAGCTTTAGGCTGGATTCACACTTGCAAGTCCCCTTTTGAAATATTTCACAGAGCTAAATAATGCCTTTCACAGTAAATTAAACAGAAGTAGTTCAAGCGGGGAGCTGCGTCAGCATGCAAAGGAACAAGTGAAGGTTTATTCCTGCTGAAAAGAGAAGAAAGGAAACACAATATTCTGGCTGAGGAGCCGTCTCTGGGTGTGCGCCACCCTCCTTTCTTCTCTTTTCAGAATAAATTAAACAGAAGACCTGGGTGTGTTATTGTATTTCACACAAATGCCTTCAGCTTCCTGCAGAAGTTCAGCTTGACGGTGCGCTCCAGTGAAGTGTCCTGGGGGAACGGGTGCAGCTTTGTAAGGCTGATCCGACTCGCCCTCTCCTGCCTCTCCCCCAGCAGCAGCAGATGCGAGTCAACGTCTCGGGTGCATCTTTTCCCAACGAGCTCCGCGACCTGCTCCAGCGGAGGCTCGGAGACTTGGAGAACCAGCTTCTGAGCAAGGTGGCCGAACTGGAGGACGAGAAGTCCCTGCTGTACAACGAGACGGCGGCCCACCGCCAGAGAACAGAGAGCACGCTCAAGTCCCTGATCGGGAGGATCGACGAGCTGGAGAAAGGTGAACACTCCCCGCCCGCCTGCGTCCTGTGGTCACTCCCAGAGCTGGGATCGAGGTCAACGTGGGGGTGTTAGGAAGGGGCTTGACCTGCACAGGCTTTTGAAAGGCCAGTGGCAAGCTGGAGTCTCATGGAGTGGCTGTGGGCTGAAAGGAGAGCCTCACCCTCACCAGGCCCTGCTGCTGGGTCCCTTGATTGGCATTTCCTTTGCTACACAGTGCATGGAATCCATGCACAATCAGGCTTTTAAAAATGCTGTTGTCTTGCTAGAATGAAATTCAAGCCAGTGTTTGAGCAGGTGAAGACTCAGCTTCAGTACTGTGTTAGTTTCAGGTGAGTATTACCCCAAGGTGATGCAACAGGGGGCAAAATAACATTTCCCAGCTGCAGCCCCCATGAAGCCATGTCTTAGATCTCTGTTTTAAGCCTGACATCGCCGACTATAAAAGGAAATAATTGAATCGGCCCATTTGTAATGCATTAGATAGGCAACATACAGGACCATTGACTTAAAGAAAGATTAGAAATACGTAGTGCAGTTTTGAATTCCATGGATTGATAGATGCAGTTATTGCAACTGAGCTGTTCTGTAGCTTTTATAAGTCAAATCAACCACCCTTTAGTCTCCAAACAATTTCTTACAAATACCTTAGAGATGGCACGCTGGCACACTGCCAGATACTATCATGCAGAATACAATTATAGGTCTGGAGAATACAAACACAGGCTTGTGGATTTGTTTTCTACCAGAGCCAGAGTGTGAGTCATGAATTCCAGAAATGTGCATTAAGAAATGTACTGAATTAACAAAGCAGTGTTAGACCTTGATTAGATTGTTTGATTCTGTATTTTATTGTGTTCCTTGAAAAGCTTTCAAATATTTCTTTCCATTCGCTGCTGGATTTAACTAAGTTCAGTGCCCAGAGGCGTTAGTGTCCCTCCGTTGTTTCCCTACAAGCAAGCTGTTTGACAACATCTGCTATCTATACTGTATTTCGACTTTTCAAAGAATGTTTAATGGCAAATGATGATTTATGAGAGGTTATATGATCATTGCATTGCCACGTTACAGGCCATGTGTGAAGAGGACATTTCCTGTATTTGAGATTTAAATGACTCATAAATCACATTGCCTTAATCGATACTCGTTTCTTGAGATATATAAGCCACATAGATTGGGTGGAAAAGGTCTAGTTAACAACTGAATCAAGACGAATCAGGTTTTGGATTTGCAACACAAAGAATAAGAAACATTAAAAGCATCATTAATAGAGTTTTGTGACCTATTGCAGTGAAGCAGAAACACCTAGGTTTGGGATGAACACAAATACAAGGGTGAATAAAATAAATGAACATGTATGATGATGTTTTCTGAGTGATTTAAAGAAAGAACATCAGACTGTACATTCTGCTTTTTCAGCAGATTACCTTCCTTAAAAAGACTACAACTACAAAAGCCTTCAGCAACCCAGGATACAGTGTTGCACAGCAATAAACTGCTCCTGCACGCTGGTTTCTTACTCGATTTAATTTGCTCTTGTACAGCAGAACCCTCCTCCATGCAGTGTTTTCTCTCTTCAGCAGAAAGATTGCTGCGATCCCTTTAAATCTCTGGGCAATTTTTGCTTTCTGTTTCTGACACAATCCAAAAATTCACCTACTCCGCCAGAGGAGAGCATATTCATCCCTTCTTTTACAGTGCTGTCAAATACTCCAGAGTAGACTGACAAAGCCTTAAGCTTGATTGCTGAAATAATACACTGAGTATCTTAGTTTGTCAGTGCTGCTGCCTCACTCACCAGAGTCCTGGGCTTGGTTCTGGCTGGCTGTGTGGAGTCTGCATGTCTGGCATGGGTGCCCCGCACTCACATGGCTTTTGTCTGGGTGATGCGCTCTCCTCCCTCCTCCCAAGAGCACGCTCTTGGTTTGACTGGCTGCTGGGAGCTGAGCTGTTGTCATTGGGCCCAAAGAGGGCTTGCGTCCAGTCTCCAGGTGTGTCCGGCGCCTCAGGCACGGCGCTCTCTGGGACAGGCAGGGTCCGCTTGCTGATTTATTGAGCCTTCGTAAAACATCAAGGTCAAGCATGATCATTTCTGTGATAGCGAGCATCTTCTTCTGCTTCCGAGAGCCTGTCTCAGGGCAGTGACCCTGTGTGGTGCGCTTGCAGGTAACAGCAGGTTCAAGTCCCCAGAGGCCTTCAAGGTGTCCCTGCCTCTGCGCACCAACTACCTGTACGGGCGGATCAAGAAGAGCCTGCCGGAGCTGTATGCCTTCACCGTGTGCATGTGGCTGAAGTCCAGCGCCAGCCCTGGCGTCGGGACGCCCTTCTCCTACGGCGTGCCGGGGCAGGCCAACGAGATCGTGCTCATCGAGTGGGGCAACAACCCCATAGAGCTGCTCATCAACGACAAGGTAAGCTGCCGTTCCCACGGCGACGCGGGTGGGGGTCCAGAGAGGAAGCTGAGGAAGCTAGTACTCAGGCGTGTGCTGCATGGTGGTGTGTTCAGTGTGGCATTGTGATGATGTTCCACGCTTACTGGCGTGTGTTTTGAAACAAGAATGCCAGGATTAACCTGGAGGCTGGCAAGCGTATGTTATTGCATTCATGGTGAAAGCAATGCCTGTCATGCCTTGGCCTGACTTGTACAGCTTCGTGGGATGTTCCTGCCTCATCCTGGCAGCTGAACCGCTCCTGTAGATGGAGAACATGAGAGTTCATTGACTAGCCTCACTGCATGGGCGTCTTGTGTCATTGCTTTTTCTTGCAAACTGGGAAATTAGAACTGAACTCACCCATGGAAACAGCTGAAGATGAAACCCAGAGTGATCCCCTTAGAGAGGAACCAGGAACTGAAGTGCAGGAGTCATACTGAAGATCATTTTTCAGATTATTATATACACATTTGAACCATAGGAAAAAAAAATTATAGGACAGTTTATATACTAGGGCTATTTTCTCCTCAGCTGTAATGTGCCTATCCTGGCAAAAGAGAGAAAGAGTGTGTTCTGCTCCTCACAGAAACTGAAAGAGGCAAATACAGTACTTTGTTTTAAAGCCTGGGGAGAAGGAGAAACACAGACAGACTGACCTGAACTGGGAGAGCTGTGCTGGGGGCTCATCTGCTCACTAGCAGTAGGAGCACCCCTGTCTGGGTTCACTCAGCACAAGCCTGGAGTCTCCAGGCACTGCGCTGCACGAGATCTGTGCACAGCATCCACATGATCTCTCAATAATTCATCACAAGAAACATCCCCACAGTTGGGATAGATTAGTGTTCTTGTTTTGTTTTTTTCATGTTGTTTTTAATTCAGGGAGGGGGGGGGGGCTGAAAACTATTAATTTTGAGAAGTCAAGCAATTTTTGTGTTTTTTTTGTGTTCAATACGATGCTGCATGGTTTAATTAAAGGATTTTAATAGCCATCTACTCAACCTCATTTTGGTTGTGAATCAATAAGCCTCTTTTAAAACTTAAACGTACAGGCTGTGTTGCCATCAGTTTGGAGTCAATAATTCACTAGTTTCTGGAATTGTAATGTGAGTTCTGTGAAGTCTCCTGGGCTCCTCCAGTCCGGGGTGGGCAAACAAGGAGGAGGGCAAAAGGTGAACTACCTTTTCACTCGGAGACTAGAACAATATGCTGTATAGTGAGTGAGCGCTCGACAGCAGACCCTTCAAGCCACTGAGGCAGTGGGTTTACAGCATTATTTCTAATAGTCCAACAATGTCACCCAGATCTTACCTGGAAGATCCCAGCAGGTCCACCTTAATGACCAGGCTTAATAATCTCTTACAGACATCCGTGTCTCTTCCCACAAAGCAATGTCTAAATGCACTTGTTCTAGTCCTAGAGAGTGTGTTTTGTTGCTGAGCCTGAAGTCATTGATTTGACTTCTGTAAGTACCTTTCAGAGATCTGGTCACATGAATCAAATTGCCTCATCATCGCCTCTGTTTGAAAACGAACACATCTGGGTTCCCATCCGTGCAACAGGCTGTGCATGACACCCTTCCACATGCCTGTGTCAAGACTGCACTGTTCTTCTGCCTGGTGCTCTTGCCATGGGGTGGGGCTCTCACACGCTCTGTGTGATCTGCAGGTGGCTCAGCTCCCTCTGTCAGTCAGCGATGGCAGGTGGCACCACATCTGCATCACCTGGACAACCAGAGACGGGCTGTGGGAAGCCTACCAGGATGGAGAGATGCTGGGCTCTGGGGAGAATCTGGCCCCCTGGCACCCAATTAAGCCTGGTGGAGTCATTATCCTGGGCCAGGAGCAGGTGAGCAAACACTCGCTGTCCCCTGTGGCGCGGAGACAATAAGATCACAGTAGCTTCTTCTCACGCGATGTGTATCTCTTCATTCTGAGGACATGCATCTACTATCTCTCCAACCTCCACATGGTGAAATATTAATGCAATAGAACATAATCTACTGACTGCTGTTGCCTGCTTCTATCAGGGGCTGTGATGCTCGTAATAAGAAGTCAGGTCATGGGAGGCTATTTATAAATGAAGCACAGGTTTAGACTGTGTTTCTACAAGGCGATGGTGGGAATAAAAGTCTGGAAACGTGTTAGAGAATACAATTAGTAGCACGCTGCTCTCTGTACTCTGTTGCACTTTTGCCTGTGAAAAATGTAAGTACTTCCCCATGTCATCTAGCATCAGGAAATGGCTTTTGATGCTATAATTAGTTGGGACCTGAAATGTGAATCTTATTGGAAACATCAACATAGAACCACAAAGAGCAAAACCTTCATGATACTGATTAACAGGGAAACCACAATGTTCTAGAAATAATGATGGATCCGTTTCCTTCGGTCACCCCACAGGACACTGTAGGAGGGAGGTTTGATGCCACGCAGGCCTTTGTGGGGGAGCTGAGCCAGTTCAACATGTGGGACCGTGTCCTGCGACCGCTGGACATCGTCAGCATGGCCAACTGCTCCTCCTACATGCCCGGCAACATCATCCCCTGGGTCGACAACATCGTCGAAGTGTTCGGTGGCGCCACCAAGTGGGCACTGGAGATGTGCGAAGACCGGCTTTTTGATTCGTAACTGTTGCAGTCTTTGACCAGACACTCCCCTCTCCTTTTCCCCTCCTAAGCATCGAGAGACAATCCTCCCGAAGACACCTCATTTAAGACGAGAACTTGGACCTGGTGTTTGGGTAACTGGGTAGGCCAAGATCTAGAGTAAGGGTTTCACTGTGTTTATACATACCAGCATACTTTATCAAAAGCCAGATGAATTTGACACAAAATCAGTCTGAACATTTACATGAACTTCATTCTTTTTTCATTTTTTTGGTACACTGGCTTTACATTTGTGATGGATTGGAAAAAATGGTGCCACTGGAGAATATATTTTCATTTTCAAACGTCTGTTTAAGAGAGAAGTTTTTTGTGTGTTTTTGCTGTTTTTCAGCAGACTGTGTGAAAACAGGAAGGGAATGGATTTTGTCTTTAGACACGCATAGTTTTTTGTACCTACAGGGTTTTATATAATATTGCACCATATATGAGTTTAATGTCTGCACAAGCAAATACAGTATTCTGTACTCAACCGAGGCAAGACCACAGGACAGGATTAGAATTTGTTCTACACTGTGTTGTGCTTTTCTACTCTAAATCTAGACATCCATATATTTTCATAGAACAAAAACAACAAATGCGTGAATTTCTAGTGAAAAACAGCAAAAATGCAGATGAAATGGAGTATAAACGTACCACTGCAGATATCCGTCACTGGCCCCTGTTGCAGAAACCTGGTCAAGGTGGCGAGAGGTCAGAGCGCGGTGGTCTTCGGCTTCAGGAGGCCCAGTTAACTCCGCTGCTCCGACTCCGAAGGCCCAGGGCTGCAGATCCACATTCAGAACTCGCCCCTCTTCCCCACCCAGTGGGCCATTTGAGCTGTGCCTCAGTAGTGTTACTGCTGGCTGTTTGTGGCAGGAGACAGTAAACCCTCTGAGAGCTTGCTGCTCATACCATTTTGCATTTTTTTTAAAGTTTCAAATCCCCTCTCTTGGTGTTGTCCAGTGTTTTTGCAACTCATGTACTGATGTTTTGGTGTATGTTATCCATCTTTTAAGAGAGGTTTGGAATGCCAAATGTGAACATTTCTATCCTTTTAAATATTTCTATCCCGTCTGTACACATCTGATACAGTACGATCCCCATCCTCTCTCCATGTGCCGTTCAGAGCTATCCTGGGTGGTTTAGAATGGGACGGGCTGAACAGAACGAATGTCGCAGCTCAGGAATCCTGGGACAGGACAGGCTGGATGCCAAGCGAAATGCCTTACTTGATGATTTAAAGAAACTGGGCTCATATCCAGGACAGTTGTGCTTTCTTAAGTGGTTAGTTACGCCCCACACGCATGCAATTGTTAACAGTGCTGTAGCACAGAATCATGAGATGTTAGGCTTTAACACATACTGTGTTCAAGATATAGTCTGTTTCTGTAACCTCCTTCTCCTGCTACTAATTTGAACACATGCATGAGCACATTTCTGCATTAGGACTATAAAGACAAAGAGGCTCGGTCACTGCCTGAAGGATTTCTTCATTCATGCAGCTACAGAGATGTAAAGGGTCACTGACTGCAGACCTCCTGCTCTGAGTTTGCGGTGAAGGCTGAGGTGTCTGTTTCAAGACGGTGCAGATACTCTCCACTGTTGGCATCAGTATGCAAGCCACAGGGACCCCAGAACTGCACCTCCACAAGGAAGCACAGGGGGCTCCAGCCTGCAGAGCTCTGCTTAGGGTCCAGGGGGTGACTACACTCCTTTGAGTCAAAATTATCTGCAGTTAATAAAGAAGAAATCTATTTTTGTTTTCCTTTTTAGGACACTTAGGTTCTGTGGTTTAAATCTCCTGATCTGATGCCAAATTAGTTTAACATACAAACACTGTTAGAAGTCATATCTTCTTTGTTATCTAGTATGAAGACCTAGTATCTAGATCAGCGCTAGACATCCAGTTTGCATGGTAGATCAGGGCGAATTCTCAAGCCTTTGGCTGCAGTGTCTTATGAGAATTCTGGCACATTCTGTACGTACATTTTCAAATCTCAGTCTTTTTACTCTTGCAGAAAAAGCTTTGTTCGGAAATAAACAGTGGAGTCCATTTTATGGCATAAAACCATGTTTCTGCACACTGAGTAAAATATAATGGTCTTAATGTACCTGTGTAAAAACCCCTTCCCCATCTTGATATTTGCACATTATTACCTCTTTTTGCAAATAAAACAAAAAAGGGCATATATAATTTATATATATCTAGGAAAAGTACTAGTTTTCCACAATACCAAATAAATATTAAAAACATTTTAAAGTGTAACTATTGAAAATATAATTAGAGTAATATATCACTATTCATGAGTTTAGCAAATATATTTACAGAAGCAGCTGTTAGTTAGAACCAGGAAAATGATTATCTTTCCTGTTCATGTTCTTTGAACCTCTGTTTTGAAATTTTATATGTGTATTATTTTTTCAGAAAACAAGCATCAAAGAGATGTGGGAATTTACTGAGCTGTACAGTATGTGCACAGGCCTGTAAAAGGGTGACATGATTTTAAATAAAGAATACCAGAGATAGTTGTGTTTGTTAGACTAATGGCCTTTTTCATGAGCACGAAGTGCCAAATAAGAAGCTCCAGGTATGTCGGTAAAGTAAACCTTTTCTTCTGCCAATGAGGGAAATGAGACGTCTGTGGAGGAAGGACACAGAAAACACAAAACTCATTCAGCTTTTGTTAAGGTTATTTTGTTTCTTCACATGCTGTGTCTGTTGCTCGTTTCTTGACGCTGTAAACCGTGTTCTTGAGACTCATTGTGCTTGGTTGAGATGCTTAAGGATGTTGTTTTACAGGCTCTACAATTACCTGTGCAAAATGTCCTCTGAAGTAAAGGCATAGCTTTTTCTTCTCTACCCATCCATTAAAGGCAAGATTAAAAAAAAACCAACGGTGTCCTTCTTTATTTGATGTTGATGATTCTTATTGACCACTCACACTGGAAACAGTATATTTATGGTGCCAAGATTAACAAACGCCACATTTCTGAGCACGACTACAGTACGTGACGATACAGCTGGTCCTCTGCTCCGTGCTTGGAGTTGCTAGTTTGGAGGTCTGAGCTTCCCCTGCACTGGTCTGGTCTGACTGTTGGACAGTCACCCAGAAGAGGAGCAGAGCCCCAGTATCTCCAGTTCCAGTAAGCAACTGAATGGAGGTTACTGCTCTAGTTGGGGAATTAGGGGTAGTGACAGCAGCCACATGCACTCTGCCTGTTCTGTTGTGCCGTCTGTTCATCATTTCCACAAGCGAAGAACACTACCCTGTACGTCAGCTCCCTCTCTCCTTCACATTCATCTCCGCTGCCTGTGAAGCTGCCCCTCGCTGACCCCTCACTCTGCAGGGGGTCCCAACCTCCTCGTCCTCTGGCCAAGACAAACCCTACCGTGACCAATTCCTCGAACAGTGTCAATACAGTTCATTCTTGGGCACTGTGGTTCCTAGCAAATGGGTAGCTGGGAACGTCATGGCACACAGTGGCTGAGCTCTTCTGGGCATGAATCAGGATACATACATGCACCAGCAGTACGAGAATATTGCTTCAGGTTATTTTAGAAAGTCACATTAGCTCAGCCAGAGCAGCCGTCTCTGGCCAGACTCCGCCAAGCAGTTGAGACTGAGCTTGATAAAGAGGATGTGTGTGTGAGAGCGAGAGAGTGTTTACGAGGCAGGGAGAGACAGAGAGAAGGAGATTTAGTAAAAGGTCAAAGGTTTTGGCAGCTTGAAAATGTGCATTATGGAAGGTGTTTAAATACCCTGCTACAGTGGGCCACAGAGCTGATGACGACACTAATCCTACACAGGCAGCTGCTACGCTCCTGATCCAGGCCTGGAATATTCCTCTCAAACTGCCCTGCTCCCAGGCTGCAGTCCTGACTGCTGTCAAGATCTAAATTGGGAAACAGAAGCAGCCCTGCATGACGTCACAGTGCTGATCCAGGGTGTGTAGTGTCCTTCGTCACCTGGCCAACACAGTGCACACACCACCCAGACAGGGTCTGTGGTTACCATAGCACGTCTAAGATATTAATTAAAATAAGATTATCAGAGATTTTTGTAATACCCTCACGTTCCAAATGGGATTGAGGATAAAGTCACTTGATGCAAAGTGAATTAATTTTTTGATGAATGAGGCTGGTGATTCAGTTTTGTGCACAATGCTAGATTGGACAGGCCGCTTACTCAACAAAGCAAATTCTCATAAAGGGCCCTCTAAACCAATCCAGACCCACTGCATTATACCTCCTTCTGGCATGTGAGCTTTAATTTGTTTAATACTTTTGAATGAGTTTTTTGCAAACTGGGGGAAAAAAAGCAAACAAATCTGAATGTTTTCCAACAAGCTAGCCTGGTATTGTGGAAAATCCCACACTGGCAGGCAGACAGGAGGGTGTCGCAGGGTTAAGAAAGACCTGAAAAGCACATACCGCATGAAGACGAATTCCTTGTCCGTTGGCACCTGTTGGGCTGGAGGTTACTGCTGGAAGTGTGCTCTGCTGAAACTACTTCCTGAGACTGGACTGTATCTGCACCCTGGAGTCAACAGGTGAATGGCGGCTTCGGAATCGGGCCAGGAAACCAACTGTACAGGAAGTCCTACACTGACGGGCTGAAGCAACTCCACTTACTCACTAGAGAACATTACGACGGGGCCTCATCTAAGTACGTAAAAACCTCAGCAGTGAGGAAGTCAAGCCAACAGATTCAATGTCTGCAATGGACTATTTTAGAATGAACAGTGAAACAAGTAGAAACTCGGCGCAAGATTGTTACACAAAGGGCTGTGGGAGTCTGGAACGTCTTTTCCTTTTTGTGCCTGTTGCTTGCTCCTGAACTAGACAAGGAAAGTAGCAGACGGATGGATGGAAACTTGGCGTCTTTAACCCAAAGATTGTGGGCTGAAAATTACTACCAAAAAAAAAACCAACTTTACTTTTGAATTTTATCCCAAATCCCAAAGCTACAACGATGACATGGCTTTGAAATAAAACACAGCTCTAAGACACAGCTGACAGCTGTCCTCCCTGTCACAGAGCCTGGAAATGTCCTCACTGGCAGCTCAACTCTGTTCATAAACATTCCATTCCCCCCCATGTTTTTTTTTTTAAAGAGGTGATAAGAGGTGTAAAGGCTTGCAGTTTGTGGACACGGTGCCCCCACAGCACAACGCGACACCTGGGAAGCAAGGCTTCCCATCTTTGAAGCTAAAAAGTTTAAAGCAGCCTGGGGGGTTTCCAGTCTATTTCCAGAGCGGAGGATGGCGAGAGGCCGTGCGGACTGAGCTGCACAAGGAGCTCCGCCTGCCTGAGCACTCGGACACGCGGCTTTCCCACAGGTATCCCCTTCCCAACGCTGCGCCCTGCCGCCGGGTCCCTCAGGGCTGCCGATGACACGCTGGGACGTACAGGAGCTGGGAGCCAGTGCAGTACGCCGCCTGGCTGTGGAGGCTCACCTGGGTGTTCAACTACCTTTTTCCGTCTAACTGTGGCACAACTCTAGAACAGCTGTTCCTTCTGTAGGAATCGGGAGCACTCTGAAGGGTCTCCCCGTTTCTGGGCTCGCTGACAATTCCTGAAAGACGTCTCATCTCGTTCAGGAGCTCAGCAGGCCGGCCTTGTTGGTCAGCATGTCTTCTGAACGTGCACTTCACGTGCAGAGTAAGGAATGAGAACAAATACTGCCTATTGGCTACAAAGTGCCCTAAAACCATTGGCCGAGAGACATACTGAAGGCAGTGCAGCCTGATAGGAACCACAGGGATCCGTGATCTGACTCACCTTCTGCTGAAGTGTGCCTGGTGCCACATGGAGACTGAAAGGCAAGACAGAATTGAAACAGGCCGAATGGGGTGTGAACAGCTGACAGCTCCCTATCTAACCTGTGTGAAGGTCACTTTCCTCAAGTCAGGGGGCTGGGATTTAACTAACAGCCCCTGGTTTTTCCCCAACAGGTCATCAACACAGGAAATCGATGCAGAAGTGAATGCTGCCATTTTTCTTGTGTCCTCAGGCCGCTGGACAGCACCTGAGGCTGGCAGATGGCTCACTGACATGTAGCCAAAACCTGGCATTCATTTCTTCTCACTCAGCCTGAAAACGTTATATCCATCCCTTATCCAGAGACATACCATCCTACAGAGTCGCAGTGAGGCTGGAGCCTAACTTGGGTGCACAGTGAGCAAGCTGGGTTAGCAAAGCCATCACACACCCAGAAAGTAGAGACACCAAGTGACTGAGCCAACGTGCATTTAGAAGTTGAGAATAAACCGGATCAAATCCACATGAACACAGAACATGCAGACTCCACACATAGGGTACACCAGACCATAATCACACCAGGACTCAGGAGCAGTAAGACAACGGCACTGTTCTCCATACCATTATGTATAGCCTGATGCTATACATTAACGTACAGGACATACGTGACAATCATCTACAGTACAGCAGTGCAGACCTATTTTTAATAAAGAAAAAACCTAACAGAAAACCGTAAAATTGAAAGCCTGTTGCAACAGGATTTGGGATCAGATGAAAATGTAATCTCTCCACACCGGGCTTAACTGAGCTGTTCCGATTACAAAACTAAGAGCTTTGGAACAAAAACATTCGCTTCTGCACATACAGTGGCAGCACAGCATTTCTTTGCTATAATAACAAACAGCATAATTTATGAATGCTCAGCATCTGTCTTTCAAATTAAATGGTGCAGTTAATAGCATGATTAGGATTGCCTTTTAATCAGACCTTTTGGTTTCCTCACGCTCTCTCCTGACTAATCTTAAAGCTGTGGAAGTTTTTCAGCTTCCCCCATCAATTAAAGTCTCTGTACCTTATCAGCGCTACTTTACATCATTGAAGGAGCAGCTAGCTTACAAACTCCTTCTTGACCTGGACAGCTTCTTGGGTTTACGCGTTTATCTACGAAACACCAGTCGTATGTTCCTCATCTTTCACTAAGGCAGTAAAATCCCCATTGGTTGGTCCCTCAGTGGCTCAAGGTTCAGGAACTGTGTTGATCTGCTCTGGCACTCTCCCAGTCTGCATTCAGAAAGCTGGAATTCCAGACTGAACAGGGAACCGGCACTCTTGTGTTACTGGGTGTAATTTGCTCATGAGCTATGTTTCATTTTAAATTTCATGAAGCGCATGTCTTATTGTGAAAAGTTCCATCTCGTATTGTTGAGTTTCATGGCACTGTCTACTTATGTACAGTAATTCTTTAAATAGATTCTTGGCATTAGCATATGCACAGAGTGTATTTTACCCCTCCGCACCTGCAGTCATGACCTTCTCTTCAAGTCAAAACAAGTAGGATAATCCTGAGCAACAGCGTTAAATTAAAGCTCTTGCTTCAAAGTGCCAATTAAAATGCCATTGTGTGTGCTGTGCCTGCCAACAGCATAACTGCACCGCTCAGCTGAGGGACATATTCTGCCTGAACAATGAACATTGTGACCAGCTGATTGCATACAACACATGGATCTTTCAGGTCTGTAATTATTTTCTGAAGGGTGTGAGAGCAGACAGTTTGGGGCTCTGGTTTTATACATGAAGTGTGGTTTCTTTCAAGGTGAAAGAAACGTCCTGAACTCTCATTATCTGCACATATCCCCTTCAGCCTAACAGCTTTATTTATATTACAAAGACAAAACATCTTTCCCCACTTTGTCTCTCTCAATCCACATATTTCTTTCCTAAAGTCTGTCTTGAAGTGTTCCCAAGCTCTCTGGGGGGTATATTGTGCTTTAAATTGGTTTTCAGCAGTTTGGTCAAAGTCTGATAGCGATAAAATGACATAACAGGGTAGCATACTTCATTCTGGGGCACTAACCAACCTGACTGAGGAAGTTACTCACTTACCAGGAATGAGCCAGGGAGCCGCCCC